CTAACTTACTGATCCTGACAGAAAGGTAGTGTTATAGCGATGAATGTTGTAAGTGACGATATAAAGTAAAAAACCAAGTTATCTATCAATATAAAGTCAGTCAGTTGTAACGTAGAACTTCGTACGTAAGTACATCAGTTCATGTCGCCATACCACATCAGCACAGAGATATAATTGTCGATTTAAATCCAATAGTAGAAGAGGTAGTAAAGGTATTAGAAGTAATCGGAGAGATTAGGATTAGAAGATATTATTCAAGAAGTATGATTCAGTGAGGTAAGTTTAGAAAGTCAAAACTAGAGGTGTTGAAGAATCCAGAAGATTAGGATTTGAGAGAACACAAAGAATAAATGCACCGGCGCCATTGCGAACGATTTTGAGCCATGTCATTCAAGGTCTCTAACCATCTATTATTATCATCTCGCTGACCCCAACCAGGTAGTCGACAATTACCGACATGGCTAAGTCCACTCGTCAATGACTTCATGGATTTTTCTGCCATGTTTTGGTTTGGCCGCCCCTAACTTTCTTCCAACCTATTCCTACACATAGCTCGTCGAGGCAGTCGGTGGTTAGGCATACGCAGCACATGTCCCAACCACCTCAACTGATGAAGTTTCATTACTTCATCGATTGATCTGCCATCCTCAAATAGAACCCGTTTCCTAATAACAGCGTTGCTCACTCGGGTGTCCCAGGATATACGATCAATGCTTCGAAGAAACCTATGATCGAAAACCAGTAACCTATGAATATCTTCCACTCTCACTGGCCATGTTTCACAGCCATATAGTAAGATGGAGCGAACCACTGCACAGTACACTCGTCCTTTAGTCAGCTAACGGATATCTCGCCTACACCATAAGTGACGCAGGTTGGCAAAAGGCAATCAAGCCTTCTGTATCCGAGCTGAGATTTCGTCAGTCACCAGGTCATCGGCACTGATGAGACTCCCAAGATAAGTGAAGCGGTCTACACGTTCGACTACTTCACTCCTTATCACTAGTTCAGGTGCCGATGTAACCCAATCTTGAAGCAACATTTTGCATTTCGAGGGGGAAAACCGCATCCCGAACATGCTTGCATTGTTGCTTAGGGTAGTCAGAAGACTCTGCATTTTGTCAGCGTCTTCACCAAGTAGGACTATGTCATCGGCATATTCTAAGTCAATAAGCGAGCCACCTGATAAAAGGTCTACTCCAGAAAATTCAGACGAGGATAATGTTAACTCTAGGAGCATGTCTATGATAAAATTAAACAAGAATGGAGAAAGTGGACATCCCTGACGGACACCACTTGATGTAGAGAATTCCGGTGACAGTTCGCCATAAGCCCTCACTCGACCAGTGGTGTTCGAGTAAAGAGCTTGTATAAGGTCAATTTACTTCTTCGGTACACCTTTCAATGACAGACACTGCCACAGAACCTTACGATTCACAGAGCAAAGTGCCGCTTTTAGGTCCAGGAAGATAACTATTTTAGGACGTCTAAATATGTGTCTGTGTTCTAGGACCTGTCGCAGTGTGAAGACGTGGTCTATACAACCACGTCCAGGTCGAAAACCAGCCTGGTTTTCTCGAGTCTGCTCTTCACGAGCTTTCGTTAAGCGCCGAAGTATTATTCAGGCCAAAATTTTAGATACTATATTAGTTAGACTTATTCCCCTGTGATTGTCACAAGAAGACTTTTGTCCTTTCTTGTAGATTGGGACAATTAGCGACTGAGACCAGTCAGATGGGATTACGTCCAGTTCCCAGATTCCACCTAAGATCTCAGTCGACCTAGTTGCTAAAACTGGACCACCATCCTTAAATATCTCAGGGGTCAGTCTATCAGGACCTGCAGCTCTTCCTCGCTTTAAATTTCCTAACACTTTCTCAATGTCATTAAGACTGGGCGGACTCACGTCGACTTGCCATTCAGGATGACTAGAGATCGTGGGTAACCGAAGAGTTGCTCGAGGCCAGTTGAACTGATCCCTAAAGTGTTCTGCCCATCGATCCAGTCTCCTGGATTGAGAATAAATAATAGTCCCGTCTTTTTCTGAGATAGTCTCACTTACACTAGGATTCCTAATACCAGTTTCCTTGATAAGTCGGAAAAGTTGTCTACTGTTGCCGACAATTAGCGACTGAGACCAGTCAGATGGGATTACGTCCAGTTCCCAGATTCTACCTAGGGTCTCGGTCAGTCTAACTGTTAAAATTGGACCACCATCCTTAAATATCCCAGAGGTAAGCCTGTCAGGACCTGCGGCTCTACCTAACTTTAGATTTCCTATAGCTTTCTCAACTTCATGTAGACTAGGAGGACTTAAATCGATTGGCCATTCAGGATGACTGGGGATCGTGGGCAACCAAATTGTGGCTGAAGACCAGTTGAACTGCCCATCGATCCAGTCTCCTGCATTGAGAGTGGATAATAAGATCATCTTTTTCCGCGATAGTCTCACTCACATTTGGGTTCCTAAGGCGGAAAATTTGTCTACTGTTGCCGATCGCCGCTGCCTTTTCCATCGCTTTTGCTTTCGCCACCCACCACCGTTCGCGATCGTCACGTAGGCTTTTCATAAGTCTGTGCCTAAGTTGACTTCGCCCTTCGTCATGTTCAGAGTCAGGTGGGATGAGTTTTCGAGCATCCATCACTTTGGTGGATGCGACTGAGATCCACGGCTTCATTCTAGGCTTATGGTTTACCTTGCCAGCAGATATCACTGATGTTTCCACAGCCTTCTTGACATCATTCCAACCTGACTCCGGATGGGAATCACTTGCATGGTTGCCTAACTGTCTTTCTAGTTCCTTCTGAAATATTTTCTTAGCCTTATTATCATTAAGTAAAACCCTAAGAGGCTTCCTTGCGGTGTCTTTCCTACGCCAAGTAAGCTTCAAACAAATACGTACTCGCACTAGGGCATGATCTGAATCTAAACATGTGCCCCATAACGAGCGACAGTCTTCTATCGAACCACTCCATCTGTGGCTGATGGCGATGTGATCTAGTTGCGTCCAACGTTGAGGCGGCTTTGGAGGTCGCCAGGTCAACAGATGCTTTTCCTTATGCCTAAAGATAGTGTTTGCTAAGAATAGGCGGTTATCTGAGAATACTTGCAACAGACGGTTACCATTGTCTGTTCTCTGAGCCGCGACACTACAACATCCACCTAGGTGTCTTTTATTTTCACTGAGTCTACCTACTTGAGCATTAAAGTCACCAGCCATTATTACTATATCAGAGCGCCTAGCTTTTTGGAGTAGGTCCGAAAGCTTTCTGTAAAATTCATCTTTAACTTCGTCCGCACTGCAGTCAGTGGGGGCATAGGCAGATACGATGAAGAGGCAACGGCGATTGTCCCTATCCTTCTGAGTCCTTACTGTCCCGTTTAGTCGGACAGCGCACAAGCGACTTCGTACGTATGTACATAAGTTTAGGTTGCCATAACACATTAGCACAGAGACGCAAATGTCAGTTCAAATACCATAGTGATAGAGACAGTAGATGTATTGATGGTAACGAAGAATACTATGGTTTAAAGATATTATTCAAGAATTATAATTCAGTGAGATAAGTTTTGAAAGACAAAGGTAGAGGTACTGGCGAATCCAGAAGATTAGGATTTGAGAGAGCACAACGAATGGATGCACTTGCGCTACTGCTAACGATTCTGAGCCATGTCGTTCAAGGTCTCTAACCATTGGAGACTTTTGTCTCGAACGGAGCGAACTACTGCTCAGTACACCCGTTGTTTGGTTAGCGAACGGATATCTCGCCTACGCCATAAGTGATGAAGGTTGGCAAAAGCCAATCGCGCTTTCTGTATCCGAGCTGATATTTCGTCAGTCACCAGGCTATCAGCACTGATGAGTCTCCTCAGACAAGTGAAGCGGTCAACACGCTCAACTACTTCATTTCCTATTACTAGTTCAGGTGCCGATGCAACCCAGTCTTGAAGCAACATTTTACATTTCGAGTGTGAGAACCGCATCACGAACATGCTTGCATTGTTGCTTAGAGTAGTCAGAAGACTCTGCATTTTGTCAGCGTCTTCACCGAATAGAACTATGTTATCGGCATATTCTAGATTAGTAAGCGATTTTCCTGGCAGAAGGTCAATCCCTGAAAAATCTGACGAGTTTAATGTTAACTCTAAGAGGATGTCTGCGACAAAGTTAAACAAGAATGGAGAGAGTGAACATCCCTGACGGATACCACTTGATGTAGAGAATTTCGATGACAGTTCGCCATATGCTCTCACTCGACCAGTGGTGTTCGTGTAAAGAGCTTATATAAGATGTAAATCGGCTGAAGAAGCTGAAACAGTAAAATTATTCAGTGAATTCACTGAAAATGATAAACAAACGAACAATCGTTGGTTATTTCTTTATTCAATGCTCCTTTTAAAGATCTAACAAATTAATCAGTTGAAACTTAAAAAGTTTTAGCACTTAGCCCTATTCATTTAATAATTACTAACATTTTCATTAACTCACTTTTCATACCATATGACACTTGATTGTCTTCCGTGGCCGGATATGACGTAACTAACGATGGACATTATATTTTTTAATTTTTAATTTTTAATTTTATTTTATTTTTACACATTTGCTTATTACGTAATGTTTTCGATGTTTTTTTTTTTTGATGATTATTTGAATTCTATTCATCCACTTTTGACCTACTTTAGTTAGCATATTTTATAAATTTTCCTACTACTATCGGTTCACCTATCTTCCTACTATCAACTTGTACCACTGGCCTTTTTCATTTTATTATGATTATCACTCAAATTGCCTTGATTGGTTTAACATTTTCATCATGATAAATATTCATGTATATTAAAGTAAAGCAGCCTGATGACGATCTAATCGAAAACAGTAATATTGTTCGCTTATATGTATTGTCTTTCAATTGTTTTCCAGATCTCTTCTGTTGAATACTTCTCCATCAAATAACAACCTAGAATATATATATACATATATATACTGAATTAATCGATAATTATGATTGGTGAAGTTAATTCAAACAGATTCCTATCAGTGTTCTACAGTGTTGGAAGTAAACCATTGGAGAAGTGGCGTCAACAAGTAACTTGTCCCAAATTAATCATAAATATTAACGGACTTATTTTGAACTCAGGTTTCTAATGGTCGAATTGATCGAATCACTGATGAAGAGATCCAATCATATGTATTAGAAATTTTAGGTCGAAATATAAGGTTGTGACGATATTCTGAAAGATATCATGATTACTTTCAAATGTTTTCTTTTTCCTTTTTTTTAGTACTACTTTGATTACTTGTCCAAATGTGACAAATAAAAGTCTTGCAATTAAAATGCCAATTTTAGTGATAATTTTAAAGAATTTGAATAAATATTTCAGTTTTGAAGTTCAAGTAATTCATACCAACCAGTGATATTATTTTTTTTCTAAAAGGTTCTTGATGATCAAAACTTAAAGCGACGATTTCATGCAAGTACTTGTCAAACTACAGCGGTTGTTAAACCATTTGCTTGTATGATGCCAATTAAACTTGATGCCGGTTGGAATCAAGTACAATTTGATTTAGCTGATTTTACACGAAAAGCTTATGGGACTACTTATGTAGAGACAATTAAACTTAGTGTAAGTTGATCAATAATCATATAACCTTATTTTCATAGGATGCTTACTACTAATTCTATAGTATTTAGTAGTATTTTATTATTCGTAAACATTTTTTTTTGTGCATCTAGATATTCAACTCTTTTTCGTTTAAAAATTGATATCATCTCATACTGAAAAAAATCTACCTTTATTTTATTGACTTTTGGAATTGGGAATCATTCAATTATGTCTAATCTATCGTCACAGGAAATGTGACGATATTTACGCTTCCTTACTTCCTTACACCTGTTATCCACAATAGGACATAGGCCACCGACAGGCATTCTCGAACCAACTCCGTACTGGGCCTTCTTTTTCAATTCTCCCCAAATGATGTTCATTATTCTCATGTCAATGTCCAATTCTCGGCCAAACGTGTTCTTTGGTGTGGACGACTCCAAGTGAGAGCTTGACTAGTGACGTAGTTGGGTGCTCTGCTCATTTTGTATTCAATCCACCTGCGGCGCATTTTCCTGATTTCTTCCTCAGCTAGAAATCTGGTTTGTTCTATCCTACATTGGTTGATGCTGATAGAATTTGGTTAAAGGGATCCAATGTATCTTACACAGACATCTATTTATAAATACCTGTACCGCAGGCTGATAAAAAGCTTTCGCAACGACCGTGAACAGTGGTGGGTGGCGAAAGCAAAAGCAATGGAAAAAGCAGCGGCGATAGGCAACACTAGACAACTTTTCCGACTTATCAAGGAAACTGATTTTAAGAATCTTAGTGTAAGTGAGACTGACTTGGTAAGGGATGGGACTATTATTTATTCTCAATGCAGGAGACTGGATCGATGGGCAAAACACTTTAGGGACCGGTTCAACTTGTCTTCAGTCACACTTCGGTTGCCCCTGATCTCCAGTCATCCTGAATGGCAAATCGATTTAAGTCCTCCCAGTCTACATGAAGTTGAGAAAGCTATAGGAAATCTAAAGGAAGGTAGTGCAGCAGGTCCTGATAGGCTTACCACTGAGATTTTTAAGGGTGATGGTCCAGGTTTAACAGTTAGACTGACCGAGATATTAGGTACAATCTGGGAACTGGACGTAATCCCATCTGACTTGTCTCAAACGCTAATTGTCCAAATCTACAAGAAAGGACACAAGTCCTCTTGTGATAATCACAGGGGAATCAGTCTAACTAATATAGTTTCTAAATTGTAAGCCTTTATGATACTTATACGCCTAACTAGAGCTCGTGAAGAGCAGACTACAGAAAACTAGACTAGTTTTCGACCTGGACGTGGCTGTATAGACGGCATTTTCACACTATGACAGGTCCTGGAACACAGACACACATTTGGACGTCCTACAATAGTTGTTTTCCTGGACCTTAAGGCGGCATTTGACTCAGTGGTTCGTGAGTTTCTGTGGCAGTGTCTGTCATTGAAAGGTGTACCAAAGAAGCACAATAACCTTATACAAGCTCTCTACACGAACACCACTGGTCGAGTGAAGGCTTATGGTGAACTGTCATCAGAATTCTCTACATCAAGTGGTGTCCTTCAGGGTTGTTCACTCTCTCCATTCTTGTTTAACATCGTTGAAGACATCCTCTTAGAGTTAACATTGAGCTCGTCAGATTTTTCAGGAGTTGACCTTTTAACGAGAAAACGGCTTACTGACCTAGAATATGTCGATGATATAGTTCTATTTGGTGAAGAAGCTGACAAAATGCAGAGTCTTCTGACTACCATTAGCAACAATGCAAGCATGTTCGGGATGCGGTTCTCACCCTCGAAATGCAAAATGTTGCTTCAAGACTGGATTGCATTGGCACCTGAACTAGTGATAGGGAGTGAAGTAGTCGAGCGTGTTGATCACTTCACTTATCTTGGGAGTCTCATCAGTGTTGATGGTCCGGTGACTGGCGAATTCTCAGCTCGGATACAGAAAGCTCGATTGGCTTTTGCCAACGTGTGTCACTTATGGCCTAGAGGAGATATCCTTTCCCTAAGCAAAGGACGGGCTTACTGCGCAGCAGTTCGCTCCGTTCTCCTATATGGATGCAAAACATGGCCGTTAAGAGTAGAAGATATTCGTAGGGTACTAGAATTCGATCATCGATGTCTCCGAAGCATTAGTCGTGTATCGTGGGAAAACCGAGTAAGCAATGCTGTCGTTAGGAAACGGGTCTTAGGTAGGGATGTCAAATCAGCAAATGAAGTAATGAAACTTCATCAGCTGAGGTGGTTGGGACATGTGTTACTTATGCATAACCGTCGATTGCCTCGACTAGCTATGTTTTGTAATGTAGGAGTAGGTTGGAAGAAAGCTAGAGGCGGCCAGACCAAAACATAGCCGAAATCCACAAGGTTACTGACAAGTGGACTGAGTCATGTTGGTAGATGTAGACTATTCGGTTGAGATCCACGAGACGAAAGTCACCAATGGTTAGAGTCCTTGAATTACATAGCTCAGAATCGTTTGCATTGACGAAGGTGCATACACTGTTTGTGTTCTATCTAATGCTAACCTGAATTCCTCATAATCTCCATCTTTCTACTTCTAAAATTTCTGAGTTGTATCTGTCTGACGGTATTTTCTGGATGAAGAATTCCGTGATTCACTCAGTTTCTACCCTATACAGCAGAACTTTCTTAACGTTTGTATTAAAATTTCCGACTTTGGTGTTCATCTATAATTCCATATATTCATCAGGAGGAGAAATGTTGCTCAAAATCTACGCTTAAATATCAGTTTAAATTTTTCACTTTACTGTATATCTCATATACTGACTATAGACTAAGTTAATTTTTTGGTATGTTTCATATTTCGCCCATCATCAAAATGTTACTGAAAAATTTTTACGAATGTAAGAATATTTATACAATAGGTGCATAATTATCGCGTAGTTTTATTTTAATATCTGAAGTTAATTTGTTTTAATTTTAAATGAAAATATTATACTCGTCAGTTGATAGATATGCTTGAATGCTATTTTGAGTTCATCCTAATCGGTAAACGAGAGCGAAGATAGGTGATCCAGTGAGACACGATAGGCTGCTAGTCTAATTTGAGCGTCCCACTAAGTAGAGGAAAAAGTCCTGACAAGACATAGAAAGTGTACTCTACAAGCACCCAGAAAATATAAGTTCCATAAACACACAAGATGAGTTTATTTATACATGATAGAAGCATCCTTGGTAGAGCCACAAAAATAGCGTACTAAAATAATACATCAACCAATAATAACAGTCAAGGAGGATTTTTCAGATACAAAATGTCAGCCATTTCATTGTCAACTGATCAGCTCTTGCTCGAAAACACAAAAATCCACAATTAGGACCTTTATCAAGTAAGTTCTGAGGATCCAACGTCCTCAACAGAAAAGCTGTTTTATTTATTTGCAGCTGAGATAGATTTCTTTATATTTCATTTTGGCATCAAGTAGTTAGTAGGTTTTATATATTTTTAAATCACTGTTTTACTCGTGTATGCGCTTGAATCATCAAATGAATCATATCTATTAGGTTAAGCTTAGAGTTGTAGATAAACATGACATTGTCAGTTGAAGAGGCTACAAATCTTCAACAAGTTGGATGAGTTCAAGAAAGAATGTCACTTCTTCATTGCGTGAATTCGTTGACTATGAAATCTAATTTTCATTAACAAGGAGTAGTAACTTCATCTAGTGTGTTCCATAAAAGTCATGATCTATCATTGGTCATAGATATTACTACATTTTGATCTATCTTTTTTCATTTAATTTTATGCATTTTCACATTCTCTCTTTGTCCTGATTTGAACTATGAGAACGTCAGTCAATCACTTACAACGTAGAACTTCGTACATGAGTACATCAGTTCAGGTTGTAAGTGATTGACTGACGTTCTCATAGTTCAAATCAGGACAAGGAGAGAGGGAGTGAAAATGCGTAAAATTAAATGAAAAAAGATAGATCAAAATGTAGTAATATCTATGACCAATGATAGATCATGACTTTTATGGAACACACTAGATGAAGTTACTACTCCTTGTTAATGAAAATTAGATTTCATAGTCAACGAATTCACGCAATGAAGAAGTGACATTCTTTCTTGAACTCATCCAACTTGTTGAAGATTTGTAGCCTCTTCAACTGACAATGTCATGTTTATCTACAACTCTAAGCTTAACCTAATAGATATGATTCATTTGATGATTCAAGCGCATACACGAGTAAAACAGTGATTTAAAAATATATAAAACCTACTAACTACTTGATGCCAAAATGAAATATAAAGAAATCTATCTCAGCTGCAAATAAATAAAACAGCTTTTCTGTTGAGGACGTTGGATCCTCAGAACTTACTTGATAAAGGTCCTAATTGTGGATTTTTGTGTTTTCGAGCAAGAGCTGATCAGTTGACAATGAAATGGCTGACATTTTGTATCTGAAAAATCCTTGACTATTATTATTGGTTGATGTATTATTTTGGTACGCTATTTTTGTGGCTCTACCAAGGATGCTTCTATCATGTATAAATAAACTCATCTTGTGTGTTTATGGAACTTATATTTTCTGGGTGCTTGTAGAGTACACTTTCTATGTCTTGTCAGGACTTTTTCCTCTACTTAGTGGGACGCTCAGATTAGACTAGCAGCCTATCGTGTCTCACTGGATCATTTGTCTTCGCTCTCGTTTACCGGCTAAGATTAACTCGTAAAATAGCATTCAAGCATATCTATCAACTGACGAGTATAACATTTTCATTAAAAATTAAAAATAAATTAACTTCAGATGTTAAAATACTATTTTGTACGCAATAATTATGCACCTATTGTATAAATATTCTTACATTCGTTAAAAATTTTTTAGTAATATCTTTATGATGGGAGAAATATGAAACTTACCAAAAAATTAACTTGGTCTATACAGTCAGTATATGAGATATACAGTATAGTGAAAAAGTTAAACTGATATTTAAGCGTAGATTTTGAGCAACATTTCTCCTCCTGATGAATATATGGAATTATAGATGAACACCAAAGTCGGAAATTTTAATACAAACGTTAAGAAAGTTCTGCTGTATAGGGTAGAAACT